CCCCCCCCCTCATAAAAGTGGTAGTACTGCTGATGTTAGCAACTACAGGGCAATATCGGTTTTGCCAGTACTTTCTAAAATTATTGAGAAACACATTCACAGTACTTTTGACAAATATCTAACTGCTAATGATCTTATAGTATCATCCCAATCAGGTTTCCGTGAAAGTCACACATGTGAAACTGCACTTTTGAACATAGATGATGGTCTTAATACAGGAGTCAAACTTTTAGATTTTAAAAAAGGCGTTTGATTTGGTAGACCATGATGTTTTACTTAGAATAATGGCTCTGTATGGAATGGAACAGAATTCCTTGTCATGGTTTAAGTCTTATCTAGACAACAGGACTCAAGTAGTAGCTCGTGCAGGTCATATATCAGAAGGCTGTACAATTACACATGGCGTGCCTCAAGGATAAGTCGTGAGATAACATCAACAGTCTATTGCAATCTGATTTAGACAATGTTGGTGAATGGTGTATTGAAAATAAAATTATGATAAATGTCAAGAAAACAAAATGAATGTACACTGCCTCAAATAAAACAAAAGCAAAAAAGAAACAGTTTAAATTTAGGATTATTTATGTGCAATGAACCCCTTGATCAAGGATGCAGTGGAAGACTGCTTTGTGTACATATTGATAATTGATTGACTTGGGAAAGTCATGTTACATCTGTTTTATCTAGAATAAGGCAAAGGTTAGGGGTATTGAGACGTATAAGCCCATATCTACCTACGGAAGGAAAGCTGATTTTTTTTAATTCTTGTGTTTTCCATCATTTTATATATTGTACAATCTGATTAAAATCATCTGTTACATGGCTCCGCCTGAACAGGCGTAGTACGAAGTTAACGAAGCCATGCCATGTAACATATGATTTTAATCAGATTGTATATTGTAGTACGGTATGGTCAGGGTGCACCGCAAATGTAATGGGCAAGCTGCTTAAGACTCAGAAGCAAGCAGCTAGACTAATTTTAGATGTACCATTTGACACACCTTCTAGGCAAATGTTTGAACTCCTTAGATGGATGCCGATTGACAAATACTATAAATACAGAAGGTTGTGCATGCTATATAAATGTCATCATAAGAGTGTGCCTGAAAATTTATCAAATAATGTGTCTCTTGTGCGAGATGGTCACTGTAGGAATACAAGATATGCAATTGAAATTAATTTAAAGTGCCAAAACACAGAACTGTTTTTTATTCCAGACACTTCCTCTTTGACAGTATTAACGACTGGAATGTTTTACCCAGTGACCGAAAGAAAATAGACAACGAAAACTTACAAAATATTGTATATCAATGTCTTAGATTTTAATTTGTTTCTCCATGTAACCAAAACTTGTTACTTTCTAACTAGACTTCTTATCTGAATTATATCAATATTTTAGATTATTCTATAGATATATTAGCGTTAACTATGTCAATTTTTATTGTTTGCTATATTAGCATGTATGTAGCATGCCATTTTAATTGATGAAATACCTCTGCATGAAACTTTATGCATTCTGTGATACTCTTAACTAAGATAACTGTGATATAACCTTATATATGTCGATTGCATCAATATATATGTTACTTGTAACTAGCACATGTATTTTACTAGCAAGATAACCATGTTTATTTATATATCGATTGCGTAAATATGCTATTTTATCTAACACATGTATTTTACTAACAAGAGGACCATGTGGAAGATTAGCCTTTGGTCTTGAATCACATTGTGTCACCGCCAACGGTGGACCAATTCAATTCAATTCAATTCAACTTCATTTTCTTTCACAATACAATGTAATATATAGTAATTGTAGTGTTCGTAGTCGGTAGTACACAGTACTGTTTCATAATATATACACATTTATATCGAGGGGGTTAATATATATTATGCCATCTGCCGGTTTCAACAATGAAATTGTGATTAGTAGTCTTAAATTTACAAAATGTAACTCTATCTGTATCACTTTAAATATCTATGTAATTTTCAAAATGACAATTATTTTTAAAAATCCTATAACATGTAGCTTTTGATGAAGTGTGTACATCACTCTGCCATTTCTGTAAATACTGACCAGATTGGAGGTGAAATTTAGCACACACGTTTTACAGACTATGCTCCTTAAACGAGCGTGGGCGGTTTGATTGACAGGTTGATTTATGTGGGGCGCGTGACGTGAAGGTCGAGGTAAAACCACAAAAGCACAGGAGTCTGACACATGATAACTACGACTGATAAACAAATACGACGACGACAAGAACAACAACACACAGTTTTTTATGCGTAATTTCGAGCGTAATGGACACTTTTTGAGAAAAGTGGTTGGCTCTGAAAAGAGCCGTTGTTAGGATATAAGACCACATCTCAGTTATTCTTCGTCTTCTGATCCCGAAACAACGTCTCCAATTTCGCCAGACAGGTCCTTTCTTAGTCCGGATATGTCTTCAGCCTTCTGGTGGGCATAGTCGTAGTACATGTTCCGGAAGCCTTCGATAACCGACAGTCGAAGTCTGTGGTTGTAGCGAAAGGTTCGTAGCCGTCTCTCTTGACGCCGAGGTAACGGGACTGCAGCTCATCAAGCTTGTAATTCAGTTGCACAATCTGTTCACAGGCTCTGCGGAATCGCCGCTCGCTCTCAAGCAGAGTAAATCGTTGGTCAAGTCGGGGGTTTCGTGCTGTGGCCTTCATACTTTTCTCAATCAGTCTGTATTTACACATTTACTCGGGTGTCATCGCATGCGATGAGAAACTCGTGTGTACACGGGTATACACATTATGACGCGTGTCATTTCGTATGTTGAGAGAAAGGCGACCCGTTTCTTTTATAAACAACCGGCAACTTACCGTTGAATTATACCACGGACTTGGATAGCATCTAATTCCGTGTTTATACCAATACAGTGTATATATGTATACACGGCTCTACCTAACCACATCCTTAAAAACAGAGGCACTATTCCAAAAATATATATTTTTGATAAACTGCACTGAAGATTTTGGAATTTTACTACAGATCAATAAAAAAATAATCCATCAGTGAGGTTACATCATTTACAATGCCTCAGTTCTCAGGTAGAGTGAGGGTACCCAAAATGGAACAAGAAAAATATTAACATTTCTTATAAAGTTTCTGAAAGATCAATTCTTCAACTGAAATGAAACAATACATGCATTCATTGTATGTATGTCTTGGATATCAACAGCATGTGTGTCTATAGAGCTCATTAAAATGAGTCAGATTCACTTGTAATTTTCAGCTGGTCGAGTACCCAAAATGGAAAACTTCATCATACAAGTCAGTTTATGAAAATAACTGACAGCATTTAAAATAATTTTCTTCATTTCAAAAAGGTTTTGAAAATTTCTGCCAACGTTAGTCGTTTTTTCCCTAAAATATTATTTTAATATTATAAGACTCTTTCATGCTCAGGGGTGTAGGATATAGTTGTCCATGCTTAGAAATATGATAGAATATTTATGTTATCGCACCGTACCGTTTCCAGGGATTTTATTTTCATATTTTTTTTAAAAATATTTTAATTGAGTTTGTGAACAATGTTTAAGAAGTATGCAGATGTGATTTACTTAAAATGCATAAAACTATTAAAATCTTGATTAGGAATACACACCGTTCCCTTTTATTGCAAAAGTAATAATGCTGCATTATATATAATATGAAATAGGTGAGACCTAATTCAGCGGGCACACATGAAAATACAGTTTTCTGCATAATTTAAATGTCATTTTATGTACAGTTGGTAGAATTCAATCCTTGCATACTTCAATGTAAGTACCATTCTACATATATATATATAAAAAAAATAGGGGGGGGGGGGGGGGGGGGGGGATAGCTAATGATTCTGCATCCCTCCCCAAACCCCTGCCAGCCTGTTGGATTTTCTTTCAAAATATCGGGTAGAAAGGTGCAAGTTTGGACCATTTTCATTAAAGTCGTCTGGACAGCATTTGTTGAAATTTATGTGTATTAACACCATTGGAAAGAGAAATTCCTTTCCCTTCATAAAACTATAATAGAATGGCAAACACGTCCGTATTTGAAAAGTCATTTAAGTCTTTACTGTCGGAAGAGTGTATAGCCTAATGTGCACAGCCTTTGGGTAAGGTCGGCCCACATTGGAATTGTGACGTCATAAATCATGCAACGTCATATTTTCCCGCCAATTTCACAGCTTACCGCCTTACCTAGTAAGGTACGGGCCGAACCTGCCCCAGTGTCATGGGACGAACCTGCCCCAAATTGATATTTTAAGAAATCTGTCAGTATATCATAGCATACAAAACTCAATGCTAGGCTTGTATGTATACCATCATGTGAAGCTGTCGGTTTGTTACACGTATGACATCAATAAGTAGCATTTCGGTTTACAGAAAGTTTGCAAAACTAGAGATAAGTGAGGTCATGATTTTCTTTCTACTCTCCCAAAAAAATATTTTCTCGCTTTTAGTAATCTAAAATTATAGGTTCATCCGATTTTTTTCGTTTGTCCTGCCTAGTGAACTGCACTGCTTAGATCCTCAAAGTTGTAAATATTTGCTCAAGAGTGGCCGGCGGGGTTAACCCAGGGCCGAACTTGTCCCGGTCTC